AGATTCATTTTAAAACTTAAAAAAATAATGTAGTCGTTTCTATTATTCTGTATAAAGTCATTTATATCTATTGTATTACAATTCTTAAAGTGTTTGGTCCATAACCTTAAATTATAGTACATAAAATGTTCATTTAAATATCTATTATGTATTACTGGTGCGATCAAAACTGAAGCTCTAGAGCATAACATATTAACAGCTATACATATGTTTGAGTGATACTCATTTATATCCATATCGTTGCTACCACACCCTAAAATAACTAAGTCATTGCTGTTTAATCTTGGCAAAATATTATTACATTGTTCCAGTATTAATGAACTTGTTGCTCCAGTCATGATAAACGCATACGGTTTATAGGTGTCATTCCATTTTCCTGACCTTTCATTAAAAAAAGACAATAAACTAAATAAGTTAATACTTATTTAGTTTATTGCCTTATTAATTTGGAATAGCGAATCCACGCAGTAGAAAAAAGCGGCCAAGTGCGAGTCGGACTCGCCCATGAAGGGTTCCGTAGCAGCAAGTAACGTGAATAATTTAGTTAGGTTTCAGAAAAGTAGGGCTTATTTTAGAGTCTGTCTGAATATCGTCCACCTTACAGCTCATCGTCATCATTCATTGATGTCTCCACTATACCACAGCCCCGACATTCTCTAAGGATGGAACAGGGAGAATGGGCCACGATCCACCACACGTGCTCAGAGCGGATTGGTGTGTGCTAACGACGGAAGATGCAGCCGGGATCAAAACATTAATGGCTTTCTGAAGAATAGGGTGTTTGGGATAGTTTGATGAATAGTTGGGCTACCGACGGCAGTTCTGACTTCTGAATATCCACCACTTAATAGATCATCACTACCAGTTTATTAACGTCTGCCAGTACAACAGCAACGCAAGTAAGCAACTCTGCATATTCAGTATGCAGGGGCCGGCTAGGTGAGTTAGTGACGGACGAGTGGTTTAAATCAACGGCAACCACACGGTCGGGGACCTGCGGCGCATCATCCAAACGCACAAGTTGCGTGCCACGCTCACCGACGTCATCGAGCAACTCTGCATACTCAGCTTGCAGGGGCCGGATAGGTGAGTTAGTGACCAGTGGTTTAAATCAACGCCAACCACACGGTCGCGCACCTGGGACGCATCATCCAAACGCACAAGCTGCACGCTACGCTCACCGACGTCACCAAGCAACTCTGCATGCAGGGGCCGGATAGGTGACTTAGTGACGAGTAGTTTCAATCAACGCCAACCACATGGTCGCGCCGTTCAAGCCAACCATTTGCCAATCAAGCGTTACGTGTGGGTTGGACCGGAGAGTTAGTTTGGGAGCTGCATTTGCATTCAGCAGATGCTGTACAAGTTTATAAACCCTTAATGAGTGCCGAAGGCTTAAAGAATTCGGGTTGGCGAGCATTAACATCACTGAATGCCGAAAAAAGTAAGACTTTTTAGATAAAGGACAGCGAAGTGCCAATATACATGCATTTCAGGATGATGTATCCCCAAAAAAGCCTTTTTTTGTTTGCTTGCAATAGCAGATCGCTTGCCGGTCCCAACAGCCACCCTTATGTAACAAACATTGTAATGATACCTCGATTAATTTAAAACTTCCACTGATAAAACATCGAAATTTCTTAAATCCTCTACTTACTATCCATCTTGCTCGATCCAGCATGCGGCATAGCGCTACACACGAAAAAGAGAAGGAGATACATGATCTCTTTTATGTGTACAGCGCTGCATACTGAATACGGCAAGACGCAAGAATGGTGCATAGAGGTATTAAATAAACGTAGACAAATTGACGTACTCAAAGTGACATGTTGTCTCCTTTCATTGTTTTACACATGGAGGTTAGAGAGAAGGAGAACGATCGCTGTAGAAAATAGTGTCCCAGAAATATGGACAAAATAAGTGAGGCGCTGCGGTCGCTAAGATGTCTCAATAAAAGCGGGCTGTTGTGCCCTAATTTGAAATGACAAATGCCGCGAAGAAAATTTGTACATTATTCAACTAACTTCATCTACTTGTACTAATAAACAGCTAACTGTACAGATACTACTTACTGATGGCAGCGCGGCTGGTGACTGAAAAATGAAGTAAAAATTCTACAAATTTTCAGGGACAGGCGGGCTAATGCTTTAGCACGTAGCGATCGTTCTCCTTCTCTCTAACCTCCATGGTTTTACAAATAATTAATGATTATCTCAGAGCGCATCCGAAAATTTTACACAACGTTTAGTTATTATTAGTAAGTTAGTTATATTTCCTAGAAAATATTGTTGACTTTTATCTATAGTTGCGTAAAGATGTAAGTGTGGATATAACATACAGTTATACGTAAGAAGCCTTATTTCCTAAAAGAAAAAGATTGGAGATATTGGCGCTCTATTTTTACACTTATTTTTTTTTTATTTCAGCGTCACAAGATTTTATTGCTTGATTTATTTATTAAGAAAAAAAATAAACACGTCTGATATATTTTAAGGTTATCATATGTGGAATGCGGATTTGAGAAGTGACGATAACCCGATTGAAGCTAATGTAGTACGCCTTCTTCACGCTCGGCAATAAGGTGATTCGTATTTATTTTTACCGCATAGAGATACACCATTAATTAATGAACGAAGAATAAGTTTATACTAGTTAATAATAATAATATTCTTTATTGTATAACACCACAAAGGACATAAAAGTAAGATTACACTGACAGAGATTACTAGACATTACGCAATGGGCGGCCTTTTATGTAGTTTTTTCTTCATATCACACCATTAAGGGATTTCCCGGTCGAATTAGAGCTTCCGTCTAGTGGCGTCTGCCATTGGGAGGGGCGGGAGCGGGGGTTTCAGCTTGTTTATGAATTTCATATTTGTTTCACGATGTTAGATTAAATTTCATATAATGTAAAGTTAAGGTTGAAGAAGACATATTTGTGAATAGAAATCGCAAAAAACAGTGCTTATGACAATTAATTTTTTGTTTAACTTTTACATCATTGATAAATGTGACATTTGTTTTCTAAGATGACGATTTTTGCTAAAGAAGCGGTGTACAGAAACGGTGAATCGGTAGGGTATCTGAGAAAAGGGGACTTCGCATATTATCTCAATAAAAGTTTGGGAAAGAAACATAAAGCAACAATACACTTGGCGTCACCATTTGATCCCAAGAGTCAAAGGATAGAAGGAATTTATGAAGGGTACGTAGTATATAAAATATACAAAAAAGCTGCCTCAGATTAGCGTATCTTTCTGTTATATCTTTTGAGCTCGTATACTGAAGATCGACGTGTTTTATGAAACGTATTGTTGATTTTCTTGAGATTGACTTGACGAGAAAGCCCGCGCAGTAGCAATTTTATATACTTACATACACAAAACGTCTAATGCGCAAGTTTACTTCTCTGTGGTTTTGCTAAAGAAGTTTGTCTCTATACCCTACAAAACAAAAATAAACTAGCGTAACGGCAAAGTGATTAAAAAAATGTTCGTAAATCCCTCCCTCTCCTACAAAAATAGTCACACTGCGATCTCACACAGAAGTCAAGTTTTTGTTTGTTGTATAAACCCGCTGCATCTATATATAATTATTTTAAATTAAAAAACTTATCGTCATTATTAAATGTTTTATTTATGAGTTGATCCAATTACTTTATAAAAGAGAGAAAAATCCAAAATTTTGTTTTTTTTTAATACAAAATAAAACAATATAAAACACCCCAACTATTGTTGTTTCAGATTAAATCAAAGCTTGTGTTGAATAAGAATAATAACAATGATAACAAGTGGTTGAACTTTGACGTGATATTTACGAGTATATTTGTCGTGAGTCTGTAGCCATGGAATCTGATTCTACAATCTGAATCTATTTATTTTTATTTTATTTGTGCTATTTCAATTTCATTCTATTTACTCAGTTGTTCATGCTCTAATATTACCTATTTCTACTCGTCTTATTAGCAACTGAAACCTTTTAAAAGTCAAATTTTCACTCCTTCCTGAGATTAACGCGTTCAAAAAAAAATGGATGCGTGTAACTTATGTACGCGCGTGAGAAGTTATACTTCTTTAGCATCATTAAAAATATTTTTAATTGCATGCAAATAATTAATAATTACAATAAAATAATAAAAGGACTGGAAAAGGATAGTTAACACAGTCAATTAAGTTCAGTTTTAATTTGAAAAATTAAATAAATATTCAAAATATTCAATTAAAATCACTACTGAATTTAAGTTATTAGTCCATATGTAATTAGCACTTGTAAGTAACTAAAACACGTTGTGTCTATATAGAAACTAGAAACATGTGGATAAATATTATAAATATGAAAACAGTGATCAGAGGCGACGAGCGTGCCAACGTTGTTTTTGACTGAGCTCCGTGGATCGTTCAAAGTACCTTTCGAACAGATGTCTAATAATGGTGGATTATTAACCACTTAGTGGTTAATAATCCACCATTATTAGACACTAACATTCATAACGCGCCCGCGGCCAACTTCATGGTGTTACTATTGTGTTACAGTGATGCGCACGCATCTCGAAATTTCACTCTCATCATTTTTTCATAACGCGCCCGCGGCTAACTTCATTATGTTACTTTTGTGTTACAGTGATGCGCGCGTATCTTAAAATTTCACTCTCATAATTTTTTCATAACGCGGCTATAACTTCAACAAACAAACAGTTCAACTTTATTATAATATGTATGAAGTATAGATAAGTATTTAATTTTGTCATTACAAATTCATTTATAATTACACCTTTAATATATTTTTATTACAAAATTAACAATTTATTAATATTTTAAATATTGTTTCTTACTTTTTAAAGAGATCATTATCGTTAATTATTTCAAAATACAACTACGTTAATGGAGTTGGTAAGTAAATGAAACGTCATTATCATATTGTTTACAATTGAGACCCATCCTCGTATCGCCCGCCTAACGTAGACACGCATCCAGTACCAATCATTCGTAGGTCAATCGTGGCTATTGAAACATCGTGGTTAGGGAAACATCGTGTTTAGTTCATAAGTATTTATTTTAAAATGTTCAAAGTTATCAGAGATGCAAGCGTGCGAAAGAAAGCAGTGACTTATTTGAACAATGTACAGAACAGACTGAACTCTACCAAAGAGGTTGTATCGGCAGCGGATGTTGTTATTATAGGTAAGTTAATGTTTTGTAATGTTAGAATTATCAATAAGATTAAATAAATTATATAATATATGAAAGAAAATATTTAGTTATAGATTTTATTGGCTATGCATTAAAGTTATAATATATAAGTATTATTCCAATAAGTAATAGGAAATCTATTTATTTATTAGAAGCACTGTATTGAAATAAAGTGCTTCTAATAATTAATCTGGGTCAGATATTATTGGAGAGGTTTTGTGGACACAAACGGCAAGAACGCGAAGAAGCTGAAATATTAAATATATGATGAACTGTATAGTTTATTATTGGATCTATTTATTAACAGTCCATCCAAATTATTGTAGGTGGTGGAATAGCTGGTTCGAATACATTATATCAACTGACAAAGCGAGGAGTAAAGGCAGTGCTTTTAGAAAGGTCGAAAATCACCAGCGGCACGACATGGCACACAGCCGGTAAGGAAAATTCGTTATTAGTCGTTAGACTAGTTACGCCGTGTTTTGTTTATGCCACTAAAATGTCATTTGTAATTCAATGGACAGAGACAAAACACGGAGTGAAAAATCCAAGCTTCTTTTTTATTTATTTTTATAATCAGGCAACGTAGGCCCATACATAAATACCTTATAGTCTAACTAAATTTTAGTAAATAAAAATTAATAACTACGTTAGTAGAAACCTAATTAACACGTTTCCCTAACCTAATTTTTAGTTTAAATATATAATATATATTAAACTAAAAATTATAATATATATATGTTTAATATATTATATTATTAGATAAAGTAAAACTGGTATGGTGTAGTACAAATTGCACCTCACGTGTAGTCCCGCCAGCTGATCGGATCTATTCATAAAAAGTGAACCAATTTAACTGTGAATCGTACAGTATCAATAAGTTTGTTGACATGATAAACAATGACGCTCGATTTATTTGTATCTGCCGGTTATGACCCCTTGTCTAAATTATCACGAACTTGAGGAATATACGTCAGTTTGTTTATTGCCAATAAAAAAATAAGAACGTGAGTGAACGAACGACTTTTTTATAATCAACTTTATATTTTATATCTAAAGTATTTGAAAGTTTCTATAAAACTAAGCGTACAATTATACAACGACATTTGATACAATAGTAAACTGGGGCTGTTAGTACAGTATGCGCTTGAGCTCAATAGAAATAAATTGGTCAATTGTCCGATCGATAACAGTATAAGGGCTAGAGCAGACCTTTTAATGTTTTCTATTTTCGTTGTTTGGTGGATTCTCTAGAAAATTTCGACATTTATCACAAATTACTAATCACTTTTGCTAAACTATAAAATTGTTTAGTACAAATGTTTTTTGTTTTTAAACATACCTAACAATTTATTAACAAGTTTTATTCAGAAACAAAAGTTATGATTACTACAGATTAAATAGAGCGGTAAATAAAAAAGGCGCTGTTATGATCAATTTATAGAGCATTTTTTTCGGTACCTATTTAGGTAGGTCGGACTTTGATTTTAGCTATACCTAAGCCTTTTATAAACCAAACAACAGAATTGAAAATCCGTTATAAGTATCTAACATCCCGTGGTAGCATAAAAGACTGCAAGTGTCTATTCATACCCTATTAATATGAAAAGCACTGTCATCATTTAAGTAAAGCTAATTACTCAGTCTGTAAATAAATATGTCTATGTATAACATAGTATGAAACGATCAATGAAAAAAACTGGAAGGTACGGTTCAGATTGAATGTGATGAGTGTATTTATTACAAAATGCACTAGAAAAATTATCGAAATGTCTACTATTAAGTCTTTGTAATTAATAGCAAAAGATATTTTTCTTTTTGTTTCGTTAATTAACTTGAACTATTTTGCAGGTTAGTTAGTGATGCAGAACCGGTCTAATCGAATCAAACATTTTGACCTCAAAGCTATTTATAAGATGATGGCAATCATAAAGTGCGTAATCGCAAAAAACCTGCGACTAAAACAATGCATTTTTGTTAGTGAAACTACATATCTTATGAGAGTGACTATCAGCATTATAAAAAAAACCGGGATAAAAAGTATCCTATGTCTCAATCCGGGTCATAAACTATATACGTACCATATTTCAGCCAAATCCCTTCAGTAGTTTTCGCGTGATTGAGTAACAAACACGCAAACATGCAAACTTTCACAATTATGATATTATTAGAATACTAATACTTATCTACTTATTGGTTCTCAGGTTTGGTATGGTCCTTGAGGCCATGCGATCTTGAAGTGAAGCTGCTTCAAGACTCGAGGACTATTTACAGTGATCTAGAGAAGGAATGCGAGGATTATGCTGGTTGGATCAACAATGGCGGCATGTTTATATCACGTAGTAAGGTAAGAAGATTTTAAAAATATTTTATTTTTATGTTAAAAAGGTGGTCAACGAGTGTATGGCCCCGCCTGTTGGTATGCGGCCACCATAGTCTACAGACGCTTGCGATACTAACAGTATCACTCGCACCGTTGCCCACAGACCCAATCCTCTAGCCAGGGGAGCCTTGAAACCTTACTCATCATCAGAAACACACCAGTAAAGGGATGTGTTATTTTACTGTGATCTGTAAGGTGAAGGTAACTTCCCCAGAAGGGCGCTCCAGTCCGATCGGGAAATTCGCTATGTCATACTGATCACATTATATATCACTACTTAAGTTCTGTATAAAATAGCAGTAGGAAATGCTATTTTAGCAGAAAGCTGAAGAATAAGCAGAATAATAATAAGCAGAAGCTGAATATTTTAAAATTAAAGATTTTGTATATTTATCTCAATCTATGTGTATATGCTTTCAGCAATGCTCATTTTATATTACCTATACAGGTTCGAACACAAGAGTACATGAGACTTCATACCTTGGGTAAAGCGATGGGGATTCCGAGTGAAGTTCTCAGTCCAGAAGATGCTCAGAAAATATTTACGCTTCTAGACCCGTCTGTGTTCAAAATGGCACTGTATTGCCCTCAAGATGGGACAATAGACCCCGCTATGGCTTGCAATGCTCTCCTGAAAGTGGCTACGAAAAATGGAGGCAAAGTAAGTGATAATATTGTTGTTCTTTTTAGCCAATCGGGAACCAAATACGCAATTTCGGAGATGGCAAATTCTGTTGGCAACCACGTCATAGCATCGGTGTTGGTTATCTGTTGAGACGACAATGGAATAGTCAGTTTTTTCTTATCTACAATTTATAAATATACCTACTGTAATCTTCTTTATGAGGCAAAAATAATAATTTCGATAGTCGATCTAGTTTTATTTAATTTTATTTAAATAGCTTTGAAAAAGCGAACAAATTAGAATATAGATTATTTTAAAATCAATAATCCTTACGTAAGCCTTATTTTTTTAAAAGAAATATATTTATTTCAGGTTTATGAAGAAACTCCAGTACTAGACATTCATTACACTCACAACATACTCGGAAATAAGGAAGTGACGGGTGTTCATACAGATAAAGGATTCATTCGCACTAAATGCGTCGTGAATTGTGGAGGTAAAGATTCTCACAGCAAAGAATTATGCTATAAGTTGTAAGACCTTTGACTTTTATTACGAGCGACGCTCGCTGCAGAGCGTAGGTCTCCCTCCAAATATCTCCACGCTGATCGGTTCTTAACTGTCCGCATGTAATATAAGCATCATGATCAGCCTATTAACGCCCTCACCGGGGACAGACCTTCCTTCCTTGGCTTCTGATGATGATTTCAAAATAACACTTGTGGATATTTATAGGAGCATGGGGTCCAAGAGTGGCTCGCTTCGCTGGCGTACCATCGCTCCCTCTGATTCCGTTCAAGCACGCGTATGTAGTGGCTGACGCGATGCCGGAGATAAGAGGCGCGCCCAACGTTAGAGATCATGACGTGAACCTGTACCTGAAGAACCAGGGTGAGACCTGCAGCATTGGAGGATACGAAGGCAATCCTATTATTTTGGACCAGGTATGTATCTTGAAGAATTATCGATTGGAAGGTGATTCCTGTTTGGGTAGCATTAAACATTCATACACATATAATTTCAATCAGTATTTTATCCCTTGCGGTGTTAGACTATTGGCAGACCATCAAAGGTGTAACTTGAGAATAAAAAGTGTATTCAAAGTGCAGCTTTGAAAATAAAAAGTGTATAATTAAAAGTCACACCTCAATGTTACCACATTACATATTTCCAAGAAAACAACAAAAATAAATCTAACCAGCATATTTAAAAAAAAACCGACCAAGTGCGAGTCGGTCGCGCGTGCCGAGGGTTCCGTATAAACCTGAATTTTCAAAAATATTTTTTTATTATATGATATAACTAAATATTTACAGTTTTCGCAATTTTTCCTTTATCTGTAGGTACTATAAGACGCCACTTCGTACCAAATTTCAAGATTCTAAGTTCACGGGAAGTACCCTGTATAATGCGATTCAATTAAGAATAGGAAAGCCAATGACCTCAATCTGTAAAATGTCGCTTGAAAAGAACGGTTTGCAAAAAAAAACTTGGGAGCCTTTTTTAGCACTCCGCTCCGCAAGAATAAAAACCAAACATATGTAAACAAACAATAACAAATATATATTTTTTTTCACTCATTGAGCTTTGGCCATGAATGGTTGGTAACCTAAATCGTTAACCAAATGTCACTTTAAGTTGCGTTCACAAACTTTATTTCAAACTTTCGTTTACATAAAGGATGCATGTTCGTATGTGTAATAGTGCATGATTATTCATAACTACTCCGGCGGTAATGCAGAAATGAGCGGAATAGAAGAGCTAGATTCTGATTAATGTTTTTTCTCAGTCTTAATAAATAAATATTATTAAAAATCGGTGGTTTTATTTCTCAATCTCAGTAAATAAATATTATTAAAAAAATCTGATGCTTTTTCTCACTAAATCTTAGTAAATAAGTTTTATTAAATAAAATCTTTTTTTTGCTCACTCTACCTATTTGGTTTGAATTGACAGCTATGACATCACAATATGGCGCCCAGTCGGTCCTATTCTTAGTTGAATCGCATTATAGGTTTTAATTCCCGTGCGAGTTTTCAAAATTTGCGGAAATTTGCGGCATAAACGGTTGTATCTTTTGACTGCTGTAGCGTAGAAGTTTGATTTTTTCACAGCTCCAAGGGACAGTAGACCTGAATATTAGATATGAATTTCAGTTTGATACTTCCACGCGTTCCTGTGATAAACGTTCTTGACAGACGGACGGACGGACGGACTTACAACAAAGTGATCCTATAAGGGTTCCATTTTTACCTTTAGGTACGGAACCCTAAAAAGAACCTACTGTGATGAATTAAAGTGAAATTATATGTAATTCTGAGTAAACTTCCACCTCACTTGACGTAAGGTGGCGGTAGTGTCAAGACGCGAAGATAGTTGGTGCAGCAGCTTTCTTCCTCCATAAATTACCTGCCTGCAAATTGTTTACAATGAAAGAAAATCACTAGGACGACTTTATGGACACCCGTTGTCCATAAAGTCGCCCTCTTTAGTGTGACGGCACATATTTTGCTAATTTGAAATATTCATCTAGAAAGTATTTAATTAAACCACCAGCTCCAAAATTAGTTCCGAAACTTAGCCAACAAAACAAATTTAAACCCGTACTGATAGATAGCTTTAAATATTTTCAAGTTTTTTGATAATAGTTCAAACAAAAGTATTAGAATTTGAAATGTGACGTCACAAATCTTAGTATCGATCCTACCGCTTGTCACACTATGTTCACGCTTCGTTGACCCCCCTTCCCCTTAACGTGTGACGTACTTTATGGATGAACCCCAAAAGTTTGACATTTTTTGTGATTCGTCGTTGTAGGTACCGGACAACCTCCAGTTTCACTTGTACGAGCTGGACTGGGACGTGTTCGGGGTGCACATGACTAGTGCGACCACGCTTTGTCCCAAGCTCGGGAAGATCGGCATTAAGAGTACCGTGTGCGGTCCCGAATCGTTCACGCCGGACCACAAGCCCTTGCTGGGAGAGGACCCTAATGTTTTTGGTAAGTATCTTATTCTTTAAACTAAGTTAAGATGGTCGTTCGAAACGCGCGTATATTTTAGCGGGTGTACATTCTAACGCACGTATAGAGTTTCCATAGGGGCTTCGGATTAGCGTTTTTTTCTGAGCGTATACGGTCGTTTCTGTATATGCGCTTACAAGCGCGCTTCATTAAAAACGAAAACGAGCGAGCCTTACAATAGTCGCGTATGATGTTTTAAAAAGTAGGTAATAGTAAAAAAAGAAATAAAACCTACTACAAAAGGAATAAGCCATTTGAACATTATGTTCTAAAATCAAATCAAATAGCGCGCGTTTCTCAAACTTCCTGTTACACACTTCCGTCCCACTTCACATAATCACTCCCACAAATTGCACGAAAGCAAGAGTTCGCGCTTATACGAGCTTTCAAGCTCATCAACGCTCGTACGAGTTGCGCGTGTGGCAAAAGTTGTGCCTATACGTGCCTACACGCGCTTCCGAATACCAGCTTATACGCGCGTATTATATGCTAGTCTGAAACCGTTTAGATGAGCGCTCGAAGTCGCGCTTACACGTGATCGTCGCTGCTCCGTCACAGGTCAGATAACAGATCTTGATGCGCGTGTAATCACGCGTTGTCGCGCGTATTGAGTTCCCATAGTTAAGTATCGGCCTGATCCGCGCGACTAGTTGCGTGCAAACGTATGGTGTAGCGTAACATGGATGAGACTGGCTCTGTGTTATCGCATATTGTCATCTGAACTTCTTTGTCGTGCGATCACTCGCGACAAAGGTCGGACCATCTGAACTTGCCTTAGGTACGAAAGGGATCATGTATAATGCACTTGGGTTCAACAGCAGGGGGAAGGGTTTGAAAAAGCACGGAATATCATAAGAGAAGAGAATTATACATGCTTTGGGTGAAGGTGAAGATTTTGTACTTTGTTAACGGTATAGAGTTGAAGTTAAGCCAATCAAACTGACCTTGTAAAAAACAACGGATCCAAGTTTAATGACTACACACTGCGTCCAAAAATCGCACTTCTGCGAAAATAACTTTCAAGCGTTATTAACACACGCATGTACCCCCATCAATATTGGTGTCATTTGAAAGTCCATTAAATAAACTTTAAAAACTATCCCATAATATTTTTATTGCAGAAACAACAGTGCAATAACAATAAAAATCCATAATTAAAACCTGATTAAAACAGATTGATTACTCAAAAAAAGTACAAAAAGGTCCTTAAAACTAACATGAAACCTAGTGTCCCACTTGCCTGGATGACGGCTTTCATACGCTCCCTCATGAATCTTACCAATTTTAGTAGCACTTCTTGAGGGATAGTAGCCCATTCTTCAATAATGGCCTCTTCGAGCTCCTGGAAGGTTGCGGGATCACGAGACCGAACCTTACTTTTCAGTCCTGCAAGGGATATATGACGTTAATCCTTGTATGTACCTAAGTCTCGGTTTGTTTCTAGGCTTGTACCATAACTGCGGCTACAACTCTGCTGGCATGATGTTCTCAGCTGGTTGTGCTGTTCAAATGGCCGAATGGATCTTAACTGGCAGGTGAGGACATCGATGAGCTAGCTAGCACGTTCCGTCTGCGATCGTGGAAGTAAAGCAACTTTCGCAATGACCGGTCATTGGATGGATGACCCAAAACTCCTCCCAAAGCTCCTCGGTGCTTCGGATCGAAAGGTACTTTAAGTTGTTGGTCCCGGCTGCATCTGCAGTCCTTAGCACCCACTTATCCATGGACTAATCTCCCTATTCCATCATAGGGACTGTGCCCCAGCAGTAAGGACATTGATACCCTGATGATAATGATGATGATGGCAGGTGATTTACCTATCCACTCCACTACATACTTTATAGAAACACTTATAAAACTTCACAACAACATTGCTCAGACTATCTACTATATCAGAGGTTATCGAATTCATATTAACTCGTATTTGACGTAAGCTGCCGACTTATTAGCTTTGACTGTTTATGTAATAATTGTTTGTTCTACTAGTATGTAAACAATATTCAATTAAGCTAATTTTGTACCGACTAATTGTTAGTTAATTATCTAATAAAATCATCAGACGTCATTATGTAAATAATAAGTGTAACCTCTCGTGAAAAATTATCTAACTAAATGTGAAAACCACACGAAAATCTTTTTTCTTTCTTTCTTTTTGTGTTATATGATATACATACAGACAGATAGGGCGGGGACTTTTGCATGATATAAATATCATACAGATAACGTTAGCACACCTCTTTTATATTATTTGTGACTCTCGTGTTTATTGGACAGTATGTTGAGTTTTTGTTTGATAATTGCTTGTAATGAAAGTTGACGTCATAAACTAAGTAGGTTACCTATGTTTACTTTACTGCTATCAGATTTTAATTGACGGATCCTAATGAAAATAAAATAGGGGGGAAAAGATCAGTTTTCACTGAATGTTCTTATTGTTTCTTCTTTCACGGAATACGAATTATGACTTTACAAGCGTTTCTTATACAAGTTATAAAATGAATACCTAAAGTACATAGATATTTCTTTTACTGATATTATATCAGAAGGTTCACAATTCACGTTAAGGATGTTTATTTAAAATTCTTTTTCATTCAATTTCTCTAATATAAAGCTTGGTTCATATTTTGAGTTCTGTTTCCACAATTATTAGATAATTTCTCCGAGGCTGTTCCGTAATTTAAGATAGCAAAAATTTGCGATAAGAAATATGTAATAACATTCATTAATGAATGGATATAATCGATACACATGTTTTAATAATGAACATATATGTCGTAAGTCAGGTATAAATGACCCACAGTAACATGAACTACAACAGCAAGTCATTCATACAAATGTTTTTGTCCTGAACTTTCTTATTATACGAGAAATAAGTATATATTAAGACGATGGAATTAACAGAATCACAATATGCCTAGGTTCTGTAAAACTAACATGGGGATATATTATATTGTTTTATTTATTTTTTTATACTTATCTGATTAAATGTCCCTACTTGATAATCTCATTGCAAGCGTAACCATTCCAATAACGTCATAGGACTCTCAATACAAAATTTATCTACCAGAATAAGCAATCTAAATTATATTAATATTTATCAACAGGCCACATTACAACATGTTCACATTCGACATCCGTCGTTTCACTCCTGGCCAGATGGCTCGACCCCACTGGATCCGCGAGAGCAGCCACGAGGCTTACGTCAAGAACTACTGCGTGGTGTTTCCCCACGACGAGCCTTTAGCCGGCAGAGACGCTAGCCATGACGCTTTGCATCAAGAGTTAGTGGATGACGGCGCCGTGATGCAGGCCAGGGCTGGATGGGAAAGGCCAGCGTTCTTCATGCCCGGGGAGAAGGTAATACCAACTTTTTATATAGCGAGTGTTCCCGAGTATGATGAACTAGCCGGTAGAGTATAATGAACTAGCTTAGGATTTGATGGAAGGCCACGGCTGGATGGTAGAGGCCCGCGTTCTTCATGGCCGGTGAGAAGCTAATACCAACATTATTATATAGCGAATGTTACCGAGTATGATGAACTAGACGGCAGACACACTAGTCACGATGCTTTGTATCAAGAGTTGGTGGATGACGGCGCCGTGATGCAGGCCAGGGCAGGATGGGAGAAGCCAGCGTTCTTCATGCCCAGGGAGAAGGTAATACCAACATTCGGCAGACACACTAGTCACGGCGCTTTGTATCAAGAGTTGGTGGATACAGCGCCGTGATGCAGGCCAGGGCAGGATGGGAGAAGCCAGCGTTCTTCATGCACAGGGAGAAGGTAATACCAGCATTTTTATATAGCGAGTTTTCCCGAGCATATTGAACTAGCTTAGGAATTAGTGGCAGGCTAGGGCTGGATGGGAGAGGCCTACGGTTTTTGTGCCCGAAGATTATACCAACATTATTATATAGCGAGTGTTCCCGAGTATGATGAACTAGCTGGCAGACACACTAGTCACGACGCTTTGTATCAATAGTTGGTAAATGACGGCGCCGTGATGCAGGTCAGGGCTGGATGGGAGTGACCCGCATTCTTTATGCCCGGGGAGAAAGTAATACCCTCATAATTGTATAGCGAATGCTGCGTGAGCATAATCAAAAGGCTGTGAAACCTGTGAAATTAACGTGTTCTATTTGCGATTGTGGATGACAAGCAACTTTATTCAATTATTACAACATAAAAAAATATCTTCAGCTCTTTACGGAGGTGCGTTCAGATGGTGTAAAATTTCTTGCCTTTTATTTAATATATTTTGTTGTTTCAGATCAGGGTCCAACAGTACGATTGGGGCGGTACACATGACTATCCTCGCAACGTGGACCAACGCTACGAAGAAGTGCTCAAAGGAGACCACACATTTGACTTCTCAAAGCATCATCAACTTGTAAGTGAATGCTTAACTACACAAGAACAGCCGTTCATTGTGATAGTAATAAAATAACCGAGGAGCTGGCGAACAAAACTGTGTAATTACATAAAATAAAATTTTACAGGAACTGTAAAATACTGTATGGCATACCTACTTTTTTACATAGCGAGTGTTCCCGAGTATGATGGACTAGCCGGTAGAGTATAATGAGCTTTTGGCGTGGTTTTTTATTTTTAATTTTAGTAATTTTAACACTCTTTTAGGCGGTTTTGATTGAAAATATGTTGTAATTCAAATTCAGCTGGCCCAAAACCTCTGGACTGTAAAAATAAAGTAGTTTTACCATATGCGTAATTATACCGTTTTGTTCGCCAGCTCCTCAACTATGACAAAAAGTTACAATAGGAGCAAACTCCCTACCATAAAAGTGGCGTATACATATACATATTACTAGCTGACCCAGCGAACTTCGTACCGCCATAAAAATAGGGGCTGGTGGTAGAAGAGTGAAATTTGGGTTGTATGTATTTTTAATGGCACATTATTAAAAAATTAAATTTTGTTTAAAAATAAAAATAAAATGTTAGGGTTGGACAACCCTTATCACTTAGGGGTATGAAAAATAGATAGTAGCCGATTCTCAGACCTACTGAATATGCATATAAAATTTCATTTAAATCGGTCAAGCCGTTTCTAACATTGTGACACGAGAATTTTATGCATATTATAATACTTTAAAATTTTATGTCATAAATAAATAATAAATAAATATGTCCAACACTCACACCAATTAGCCTAGCCCCAAAGTAAGCACTGTAAGGCTAGTGTTATGGGATGCTAGGGTAACGCATAGAATACATATACTGTACATATTTTTATAGAATATAAGTATATTTTTATAGAAATAAATATTAAACATCCATGACTGGAGTACAAATGCTCGTATTCATCACACAAACATCTGCCCCCCACCGGGATTCGAACCCGGGACCTCTCGAGTCAGCAACACCATGAATCCCGACGTACAAACCACTCGACCACGGAGGTCGTCTATCGTCTTATCGTTGTGGTTAATTTATGGGAGTTTTAGTTTGCTACAATTAGACTTTTAATTACCACTAGGTTTTATTAGATCCAATTACTGCACGTCGATTCTATATGACGTGTAGGTAATCTCACTTTCTAGTTTCGATAATTATTAATATGTTTAATTACTATGTTTATCGTTAACTATTTCTGGCCGCTTTGGCAGTTATTGCGAGATTTCGTCGTTTAAGCACATAATGATTATGTATCTTAAGTCTGAAATTGGATTTGTCGAAACTCGAAGTGAGATTATATTTTACAAAATTGTCCTATAGATGTTTATGTCGGAAGCCTTTGTTTACAAGTATATATCTAATGTATTTTTTCTTGAGCTAGAAAATAGCAAATAGTTAGTCGCTAACTAAGGCCGTATACAGAAAGCAAGCTGGCAACCTACCAGCGCTTATAGGAACTGGTCCTCGCAGGTAACCGGCGCGGCGTGGCAGTCTCTATGAACCAACGCCGATAAAGCTGAAATAAGACGGTTAATTTTTGCTTTCATTTTAAATGCTACATCGATGAAAAACCGAAAATTAAATGTCTGTCATTCATCGGAAAGAAAGCTTCCGGCTCCCGATTGTTTTCACTAGCATTGATCATGCATCTGTCATCATTTATCGAAAATGAACGAAAAGTGAAACGTCTAGACAGCGACAGCTCATATAAGTTTATTTCTTACACTATCTCATTCATTAAAGAATAAATACTCTTTAATTAAATAACGCGACACAGATGATGTTCTCACGGGAATTTCACAAGGGATAGAATGCTAGCTTTCTTTAAAAGTGATGCGTCTATACAAACTATGCATTTCACTGCTCATCATCCACAAATCGTTGCAAAAATTAATCACTTTTGATGAACCGTCTAATTCCGCCAATAAGCGTCGGCGATATTCGGCGCGTTACCGGATATAGTATAAGGATAGTAAGATTAGCCAAATTCTATGTCTATGATCTGAACCAAATATATTATTTCAGATCGGCCAAGAGGCTCTGTCGTGTAGGAACGCAGCCGCATTGTTCAACATGTCTTACTACGGCAAGTTCTACTTGACCGGGCCAGATGCGCGGCGAACTGCCGAATTAGCATTCACGGCTGATCTAGCTAGAAGCGACGATAGGTAAGTGAAAGTAATTAATAAAAAAGTGTTGCTAAACACGTCACTTAGAATGGTGTAATTTTTTGGTTTACGTTGATAAATAAAAGTGTAAGGTTTTACTTTGTTAAACGTTAATTCGATTTATAATAGATTAAATTTAAGCATTTAATTGCTAGATTTATATATGTAAAGATCATTTTACTAGAAACAAAATATCCGCCCATATAGTGGAAGATACAGGTACAAATCCGTTTCATTTTTTGGACTGAGACGTTTTTTTTGAGTAAAACTTTTTTTAATATCTCATTTTTTTAAATTTTTCCGTAAAAAAACTATGCATTAGTCAGATAATGGATATCTCAGTTGAAACTGAATTTTAATTCTTCTCGAATGGACTTGGGAAGAATTATATTTTTTTCATCATTTACAATTCATTAATTTATAGCAAGTAACATAACACAACACCCACCAACATCACGCATCAAGCAGTGAAAATTGTGGCTGTTTGATGAGCAAGACCTTGGTGCGGAAGGGATTTTAAAAGCGAAAGAATGTTATACCTAATGAATTATAGTACAACATTATAACACGCATTTAGGTGTTATAATGGGTTGTTTTTATAATGACAGTGGAATGTTTTAATGTTGGCAATAAGATAACTGTTTCAGAATCTTTAATAGAGATTTTAAAGCATGGGTGTAGATAATATATAATTATGTGGTTAAAACACTACACCTCACTTTTTGGGCTGTGTGACGTCATCGTATCTGCCTTCTAATTGTGAAGTAATTTGGGAGATTCCCCAACGATATTAAAAACCACAACACAGCAGATACACCACGAGCGCTAAAAATGTGCCCCAATCAAGCACTTCTTGATTCACCGTCACGCGTGGACCATTGTAAAGTCAACATGCCGCATGCATCAATGATTGTTAATAAAACTTTTGAAGCAAATTTTATTCAAGTATTTACTATAAACAAATATTTTTAATAATCAAATGCATGGTCATATATCTATGGCTATGTAGTCGTCTCTTTCCCTCCTGCTCCATGGTTGCTAAATTGCTAAAAGCGCTTTCAGAATTACGATATAAAGTCATACAAATAAAGTCTGTATTCTTCCGCCTATAGCCACAAGTTTACGAGTTTACATTTCAAATTGTCATGACTATAGATGTAAGGCCGGTTTAAAACCAATTAAACCAATCCGTTTAAAACGAAAAAGCCGTTTAAAACCGAAATAAATCATTTTTTTCGATTTAAAACGTTTGGTGTTGATGACTATGTTTTTCTTAATTATAACTACACTAGCAAACCAGTGAACCAAATGTTCACCAAAAAAAAAAATCTATTTAATTAATTGAGAACTTCGGAGAGTTTGTGTGGTTTCGTTTAAAATAGAAATCACGTGATTTCTCGAAAACCGGAAGTGCTACGTTACTCACATCCGGTTTGTAGTCTTATCAGACTATTCTTAACTTATAACTTAAACATTCTCTATATCTATCTCTTACGGTTTGGCCGCTGAAACAGCACCACGGACGGACTTGTCTATTAGATAAGAGATTGTCTTGATTTTACCGAAGTAGGAATATAACGGAGTACCTATAAACTGTATAAAGATTTTTTAAATTTGTGATATACTTACTGATATTGATATACTTAGCGAGTATAGTTCTAGTTGGTCCGCGACCAAGCATCGGAATTACCTACCTAAGTTATAAAAACTCTTATCTTAAGTTAAAAACTCTGTGTTAGTAAATAAAAACAAATATTGTTTTCAAACTATATAAATCAATTCAATCAATTTGATTCGGTTTAAAACCAAACTCACACTCTCGCACTCTCGTTGACGTCACTCGTCGTTACTCGACGCAAACGTGCCCAGCTCGCTCACATGCACATATACATATAAACTGCCGGCACACTTCTCAGGCGCGAATACAACAGGGGGTAGGTTGGGGCATGGATGGAGTCTGCTGACAATAACTACATCATGTACAGTCAGGTCACAAGCCCATTTTAACAGTTAACATCTCTATGTATCTTGTTGTATATGTCAAAATGTGCTTTTAAAAGTGACCCCCTGATTGTCGGTACGTTCGCATGTAGTTTTTGTATCTTTATCATAGGGGTTTGTTATTTATGATGACTGTAAATAAAGAACTAGTACAAAATAAAAAAAAATGAAGTGTAAAAAACATAGTTCTTTTATTTTTGTATGCCAGTTTTAAACCGTTTAAAACGATTTATTTGGGGTTTAAAACGGCAACATTTGGTTTAAAACGTTTTAAATCGGTTGTTTTACATCTATAGTCATGACTCTTTGACGTATGTGTTCAAAGTAAGACCATATAGTCTTTGCATTCATTGTGACTTTAAATGTTTGAATAATGCCCTATAAAATGTTTTTGGCTACGCGATCATTCCACGGAGCTAAGTGGTTCGTCCAATGACGAACGTACGAATGTACTTTTTGGACAGGTTTCGGACACCATTTTTTACGTAGTGTTGTATCTATGGTTTCCAAATATCGTTGGATCCCCCACACCAGGGTATTTCGAGTGTCGTCGTCGTGCCCGCGTCCACGCAACGTCGACGCCGCGGTGACGTGATGTGAACGCGGGCACGACGTTCTATAGATAAAAAGTAAAATAAAATACATACTGCTTCCACAGGTTTTCACCATCAATAATGTGCTATTATTGTGCTATTGTGAAAATGGACGATCAATTTTTAAACTCGTTTTACTTTATGAAGCTTCAACAACAGTACAAAAAACAAATAAAATTAATATTTCAGGGTTGTATATTCTCTCCTTTTGAATGATAAAGGAGGTGTAGAGGCGGACGTTACAGTCAGTATTTTGGACGGAGGCAGTGGACAGCTACATGAGCCAATATTTAAGGTAACTGACAAAACTATTCCCTATTGCTAAGAATGTACATGCTTCAAAATCTATGTATTTGTAAGTGTTACAATTGGATGATTATCAATTATCTGTGGTATAAAGGGGAAATGAACATACAGAGCAATAGGTTTATGTGAAAATTTTTGGCAATAAATGGAGAGATAAAGATCAATTTTCAGTAGTGGATACTAATATAAAAAGCTATAGTTTTGTATTCACTTCTTTTTCAATATATATTTTAAGCATGTTGCTGATCTAAGCCTTATTCCCTTCTCCAGAGTTTTTTAAACTTTTTGTAGTTACAGATATTCAGAATCTATTTCTTTTATTTAAGTAAAGAAAATCTACTTAAAAATTAGAATAATAATCATTTTACTTACTAATACACAAGTGTTAAATAAATGTAAGGATTACTTGAGCTACATACTGCACATACCCCTGATAAATATGCTACCGACACTTAGGCTAAGTTCAGATGGTCGCCCTTCGTCGCGCGTGATCGCGCGTCGAAGGAGTTCAGATGACACGACAGTCGGGTGAGATCAGTGATAGAGAATGGAAGTGGACGAGGCACATTGTGTTATTTCACCTCAAAATTACCACTCCCTTGATTAAAGGTGAATCAGATAAAGCTCTTCATTCTAAGCGCAAGAGTAAAACTCCCACGATTCTAACTATAATAGATAAAAATAATACCTTTTGAAATACAACGTAAAAAATAAAATAACTGTAATAGTTTAGACAAATTTTTTTTTTATTTCTTTTTCACAATGTGGTACAAAAAAAGAAAAACCGGGATTTCGTCGAAACTATTATAGTTAGAATCGTGGGAGTTTTACTCTTGCGCTTAGAATGAAGAGCTTTATCTGATTCACCTTTAATCAAGGGAGTGGTAATTTTGAGGTGAAATAACACAATGTGCGAGGCAATCTGGTTGTGGATTTTATATCGAAGGTTCGGAAAACTATGAGATACTGGATACATCCTATTAAAAGACTTCGACCTACTTTAAGTTTGTATATTACACTTTATCCAGAACTTAGAAGGCATGTAGAAAGTTTTTTAATTATTTCATGATGTTGATAGCGACGTTTAACTATTTAGAAAACATTATTGAAAATGATTTACGGACTACTGAAAATGCAATAAGATAACGTGCCTTTCGAAGCATGGAGGAGGAAGGAGCTCGAGATAGTAAATCTTTGGTCATCCATGCAATGACCGACCACTGCGAAAGTTGCTTTACTTCAACAATCGCAGACGAACGCGTTAATCACTTGCGCCATCGAGCTCCTCCATAAAAATCTAGAACAAATATTCGTATTCATCATAAAAACATCTGCCCCGACCGGGATTCGACCCGCGGTCCCTGGTTTCGTAGTCAGGGTTTATTTAAGACGAAAAGAAATACAATGTTTGTCACTTAAATACTAGTATGTTTTGTAGTAGTATGAAAACCATAGTCATAGTCACCTGGATTGTTTATTTATGTTGTAAAAACTTTTTCTTTTCTTGCAACTATGCGTTATCATCTGAACGGATAATGACTTAGAAACTTTATACGCACGTTAGAATGTACACGCGTGGTTGCGCGACCATCTGAATTTATCCTAAAGGAGTCCGTGGACCCACTTTAGATAACACTGTGCCTACCGCATGAACTCTTCTAATCTTGCCCAACAGCATAAATACAAACATAGCACAAACAAAAGATGGAGGTGAACAGAAATTCCAAGATGAGCGACCCCTCATAAGTGATCGTTTTTGAATCAGCGAAATGTTTCAGGGTATCGGTTATTATGTGGTGACGAGTGGTTTCAATGCCAACCACACGCTGGCGCATCTGCGACGCATCATCCAAACGCACAAGCTGCGCGCCACGCTCACCGACGTCACCAAGCAACTTTGCATACTCAGCGTGCAGGGGCCGGATAGGTGAGTTAGTGACGAGCAAGAAAATTATATACCTTAGGGCTGACCGCGGCCGCAGGCCGCCTCTGTCTATGAGACCCTTAATAATGCATTTTTTGCTACCGCTCTCTGCAATTTCTTAATTTCTTAACTGCTCGCGGCAAGGTAGTGGCAGAACCTTTCCCTCGTATTATTTCTCTGTTTTCTTATTCTGTTGTCGTGACAAATTAACTGTAGGTAGTAATGAAATCTCTGTGAGTGGTCGTTAGGACCAATTTTTATACCAAGGCATTATATATATTCTCATATATCTATATTATATAATCACATGATTCTCTTGATAGTGCATGGTCATGGTGTTTTATAGATAACTGTACTACAACCTGAATTACAAGCCTGTCGCGCAAACATGCTTTAGTGTCTCCAATCTACAAAATGACCTTAATTACAAAGTGCATAAAGTTGATTTTATATGTAATTACTTAAATTTAAGAAATAATTATATGTCGGTATTTCCATTTCCCAAGAATCCTAACCTTAACTTATAGAATACTAAGATAGGCGTATGAAAGTTTTTATGTAAATAAAAAAAATGTTTTTTTTTAGTATCCCGCATACAAAACAAATGATTGCGGTAACCGTTTGGCCAACATTTTAATAAAAATGTGTCCAGGTGACAAGCTATCTATCAAAGTTTAATGCTTGATTTTCAAGTCCTTTTAGCCAAATTGATTTAAACTTATGTACGTAAAAACAACTATTTATTTCACCGTTGTGTCATTTTAATATAATATTTGTTTTATTTATTATTCATTCAGCCAACGTATTCTTCAACGGTTCACGTCCACGGGTCTCTCGAACGATGCTTTCCCGCTGTACACACACAAAAGCATCCACGTGTCAAAAGGACCTTACGCCCCAGACAATAAGACGTATACTTGCCGAGCACTACGGGTGGGATGGTCGGGCGAACTTGGGTGGGAGCTGCACGTCCCTTCGTCTCATGCTATACAAGTCTACAAAGCTCTGAGCCACGCAAAAGGCTTGAGAAATGCGGGCTGGAGAGCGCTCACTTCACTTAGTGCGGAAAAAGGTAACAAAATAATTATAAATTAGTCTTGTGCTCGAATACGCATTTAAAGTTGAAAGTTTGACCATTTTTTGCAATATTTTTAAAATTAACGAACTATATTTATTTACTGTAGGTGATTTCATTAGTTGAATAGTAATCAAAATAAATTATATCCTCTTTTAGAATTTAAGAGCAAACGCTCTTGTCGGTGCTGTCTATGGATCTTCCGCCATTCACCCCTGTCCTCCGCCAGTTTTAGACCCCCCTGAACGACTGACCACCAGCTTTTTTATTCTTCTTCCTCAACCATTATGTACCCACTGCTGAGTGAAGGTATCTTCCATTGCATTCCAACTGTTGTGATCCCGGGCAGACAGAATACCATCTGTCGCTCCAACCACCCTAACGGTGTCATTTGTTTACCGGGCAGGTTGGCGACCATTTTCTTTTTTTTTTACGCGGATACCCTGGGTAAGGCGACAAGGTTACGTTGGACTCCACCCCCCACCCATTCAGCCAACCCATAAGGTTGAATCAATGGCTACTCACGATGGGAGGGCCTACCCACTTAAACTCTGGGGTGTACCCTCTCCTTATCCGTGACGACGGCGTGGGTGCCTTGTTAGGAATCAACACCTGTTGGCACCCAACGTTTCTGCGTCCGGTTTTCGGCCTCTATTTCATTACCTTTCTACTCCTTCCATCCTCGCGTCTACAGACATGTCTCGACCCATTCTGATTTGCTGTGGAACATCATACACAAGCGATGTCAGGTCAGCTTTGTCGTTCTCCGAATGACCACGTTCCTGATTCAAACTCTTCGTATAGTGCCCAACATCGCCGTTTTCCATGCCATATCCCCCGTTTCTCCTTAATTATTTCCATTGTGTCTAAATTGGCGCGTAACTTTATTCCTTTTTGTCCGGTAACGATTCCGTATATTTATTTTAAACTTAGATTCAGACAGCGTTTTTTATGAGAGTATTCTCGATATAGATAGGTAGATTATCTGCAGGTATATATAGAACGCAGTTTTCAAATGTTCTTAATTAGAGAAGGACTTGATGTTAGGAAGATATGTTGCTAAAACCTATACTGACAAAAAAAATATTTACAGACAACAAGTGGCGTCTAAGGACTAACTTATTATTATTTTTTATTTAAGGGTATCATCTCTGGAATGCTGACTTGAGGAGTGACGATAATCCCATTGAAGCTAACTTAGGATTCGCCTGTCGTAAACAAGGCGAATACATCGGGAACGAACATGTTACTAAAGCGAAGGCAAATGGTGTAACGAAAAAATATGCCTTTTTCACGCTCGAAGAAAAGGTATGACTTATTTACATTATCAATCGTGACGTCGGTACCTAACTACTTATGTATTATGCATATACTATACTACATTACACTATATAAGTATCATCATCATCTCGGCTGTACGACGCCCACTGCTGAGCATAGGCCTCCCCCAAATATCTCCACATCGATCGGTCCTGTGCCACGCGCATCCATCGGCTTCCCGCGATCTTCACCACATCGTCGGTCCACCTGGTGGGATCTGCCCGGTGCGCGATCGCCATTCGAGAACCTTTCCGCCCCAACGGCTATTGATTCTACTCGCTATGTGTCCCGCCCACTGCGACTTCAGCTGAGCAATCCTTCGAGCGATATGGGTTACTTTAGCTCTCCTTCGGATTTCCTCATTTTTGATTCTATCATGCAGGGAAATACCAAGCATCGCTCTCTCCATTGCCCGATGTGCGAGAGCCTTCTTATGAGACCCATAGTAAGCGACCACGTTTCGCTTCCGTAAGTTATCACTGGTAACACACGTGGGTCAAAGGATTTTGTCTTGAAACCCTGAGGTAATTTGGACGCAAAGATTTTACGTAACTTCTTGAACGCTGCCCACCCGAGCTGAATACGACGAGAAACCTCTTTCTCAAAGTTGGACTTACCTAACTGGACTACATGTCCCAGGTAAACATAATGGTCGACAACTTCGAGTGGAGTATTCCCAATTTTTACTGGAGTGTAAAAATTGGGTACAACATGGACATCGACATAATTCATCATGAGTGTGCTATCACTCTTTTTGAAGAATAGAACAACCTCACTTCTGCCCCACGCTTTCGGCGTTTGGCCTTCGAGGATGACGCAACTGAAAAGCTTCTGGAGGTCTTAAAGCATCGGCTTACCGCCCGCTCTCAGAAGCTCTGTAGTGATTCCATCATCGCCGCCGCCTTGTTGTTTTTAAGTTGTTTGAGAGCCATTCTAATCACATACAGGCTGACGTCTGGGATATCTTCGGTATAGTGTCGGGTAAGCTAAGCTCTGGGATCTTTAGGCTTGCTTTCAACAAGTGGTTGTGTGGAATATAGCTGCCGATGAAACCTCTCAATCTCCCTCAGGACTTCAGACTTATTCGAAGTTATACTTACCGTCGTCAGTTTTTAGCTTCGTCAGTTGACTTTGCCCAATAGACATATTTTTTGCAAACATTTTGTAATTATAATAATAATAACTAATTCGGTTCTATAGCTTCTTTAATACGATTAGTATTATATTGGCGAAAGTCGCTCGTTAAAGACTTAGAAATCTGCCCATATAACAAACGGTACTGACTTGCATCGGCTGAGTTCTGTAACCTCATTTCATTTCGCTGTTCCATAACTTAGTGTCTTGTCGGAGAGTTTTTTAATTCTAGTACGGCGGGTTTTGAATTACTTGGACCCTACCGTACAGGCAGTATCCACCGCCATGTTGTTTAAATCGTCCGCCGCTTCAAAGCATTTGAAAACAGCCTAGATGTGGCTGGTTTCAAGGGCTTTAAAGCGGTGTTGGAGTTCAAGTTGAAAGCTCTCGGGGTTTTGATTTTGTGCGGGTATTGGTCGGAGCGTAGACCTTATCAGTCGAGATCTTTCCAGCTTAATGTTGATATTCAATGTGCCTCTTACCAAACGGTGATCGCTTTCTGTTATGATGGCATTGATCACAGACACATCATTGGGATTCTTCGCACCCCTGCCCTGCTGTTACCAAAGCTGCTACCGTGGCTTGGACATGCAGGGCTGCCGGGGACTAGGGACCGATTTTTATTTATATCTATCATTAGGGGGTTTTTGCCGTAATCGCCATGCTTGGCAGTCGAGTTGGCTATATAATACTGGCTACTATATTATACTACTAGTGTAGTTGATTTAATAACATTACTCTATACTGTATATTAAATAATATTATAAATGTGAAAGTGTGACTGTATGTCTGTTATCTCTTCCTTCACACTCAAACTGTTGATTAGATTTAGATGAAAATTGGTATAGGCATAGTTGGAGTGCCCGGAAAGGACATAAGATAGTTTTTATTCCAGAAATCATCCTCTAAGACGATAAAAAGGGGGTTAGCATGGGAATCCAAATTTTCAGGCACCCACTAGTAAAATTAAGTCATAATTAGCATAATTGTAATGTTTTTCAATCTATAAACTCGTGACTTTTAGTTAGGTTTTCAATATCCATAAGTTGTACATAAAACCATAACTATTTATATAGTGGTCTGAAACAACTAAGTTAAATTATATTCCAATGATAAAGAAATATGACATATTCTCAACAAAACACTTATATATGTAGTTCGTACAATTTACATGATATTTATTTGTGTTGTTGTTTTTAGGTAGCCGTTTTCGGACAAGAGGCGGTTTTCAGAAATGGTGAACCAGTAGGCTATCTAAGAAGAGGGGACTACGCATATTACCTGGATAAACCCATCGGCATTGCCTACGTGACTAACAAAGGCGCAGAAGTTACCAAAAACTATTTGAAAGAAGGAAACTACGAAGTAGAGGTTATGGGGAAGAAATATAAAGCAACACTTCACTTGAAATCACCTTTTGACCCGAATAGTCAAAGAATGTTAGGGAATTACGGAGAAATGGGAATGGATGAAAATACGCATGAACCTCACTCTGGACAAAATGAAAGAGCCGGCGGTAGTGAATAGTCTTTGATCTCATTATATTCTAATTTAATTAAACTTATTTTAATATATAAATAGTTTATTATTATTAATAGCAATCACGTATATCTATGATCATGATCAACAATTTTGTTATGGCTTGTAGGACAGGGGATCAAAACTTTAAACTCCTCCGTGCTGCTGAAAGCACCTTTAGCCGTTGGACCCGATTGCATCTTCAGTGGGGTTAGCTAGCACTCAATAGTTCGCACTGGTTCCACGTGGTGAGTTATGCCCTGTTTTTGTATACATAGGGAAGACCCAGCTCCCGACAATGCGAACATTACAAAGGAGATTGCTCAGCTTCCATACATGTTTGGCCTAAAGACCAATAATCATGTAAAATTGTTTCCTGGATTCGAAATTATATATAAATTACTGTAGAAACGAATATTATTGACGGACACCCCTGTCAACTTCTATAAACCATATACACTGAACATATTAAAATACTAAAAAACAAATAAGTTATAAGTAAACTAGGGAAATCAAGCCAAGTACCGAAATTATGGATTACATTCAGGTATATAGAGCATGTAGATTAACAGATAGTTGCCTGTTTTTAAAGTTAATGCATAAGAGTAACTTTTAAAATCAGGTGTCATCTATGCATTTCCGGTTATAATAAGGTACTCTGTGACAGAAACTGTGTGATGATTGTGAATGAGCCACAGATTAGAGAGATTTTTTAAACTCTCGTTAACCAAAGATAGCTAAGAGATTTAGGTTCTATAGCCATATATTCAGTAGCTTCATTATTTTTGTTGTTTTTAAGATAACCATATTTTAGATTTTTAGTGTATTTATTTATTTATTTATATACAGATTATAATGTGTTTATGGAGGTGTTTGGCGAAAAATGTATGGCAATAGACTTTATGATGTCGCCTACTATCTATAATAATTGTCCGAGCACATTTGCATGTAGTGAAAATGATATGTGGTACACTGTGGTATTAATATCCACAAGTATATAGTGAAATATAGTTGTGGATATTAATACCACAGTGTAATAACTTTACCACCACTTTTTTTTCGGCGGTAGGTGTGAAAAAAGTAAACAAGTGTTTGGCAATTGTAAAATAGAATTTAATTATTTAAAGTTATTTTAGTGCTTCGATTTTATGCTACTTTGGAGAGCAGAGAAGTAAAACAGCATACCTAATGTGTTTGCAACATCTTGTATGTAATTTAAGCTTGCATTTTACACCGCCTGCCAGCACTTCACTCACAAAGTTTTGCACAATCTAATATTCAACACTACAACACTGTATATATAATCATGCCACAACTATCTGATATTGTGTCTGCACAAAAGAGCATGGAGGAATGTTTCACTAAGAAAATGCAGGATCTGGAAGCTCAAATCCAGGGTGCAGGTTCCGGTAAGGAAACAGTCGCAAAGGTAGCTGAGGAGTTCCAGACCTTCAGGGAGCTCATATTTGGCATGCTGGGGCTGCTCCGCAAGCAAATCAACGAGTGCACCACACAGATAGATGCCATGGAATCCCGGCACCGCCGCAAAGCTCTGATTTTCATGGGCGTTGAGGAATCTGATGCTGAAGACTGTAAGGAGGTGGTCTGTGGCCTTCTCGAGTCAAAGATGGGCCTCAAAGATGTCAACAAAGCTTCGCTATCAGTTTGTCACAGGCTCGGAGTGTCCAGTACAAATGAAAGCAATAAGCATCGGCCTGTTCTTGTTAAGTTTTCACAATATGAATTGAAATCTGCAGTCTGGAAGGCGAAGAAGAGCTTGAAGGGGACGAACATCTCAGTGAAGGAGTTTCTAACTAAGTCAAGGCAAGCAATCTTCAACAATGCTCGGCTGCATTTTGGTGTCCGGTCTTGCTGGACTCAGGATGGCGTCATTCATGTGAAGTCTTCCGATAGTAGGCGTCATAAGGTGGTGCTTAAAGAAGATTTGGACGTCCTGGTTAGTAAATACCCAAAAGAGTCCTCGACTGCTGTGCGACCAGGAACTGCAAATAAAAACAAGTAGTAACTTTATTTTCTTTGTACCTATACAATTTGCTTTTCCATCGCTATCTTTAAAGACAACGTTTTGCTTCTTAAAAATTTCAATAATTATTACTTACCGTAGAAATAAATGTCATCCTTTAAAGTCGCAATAGCTAATTGATTGTTTTTGGCTTTCTTATAATGCATGCTGTTGATAGACACAGAATACCCAGTTTGCGTTTGTAATTTGTTTTTTTTTATTTATTTTTTAACTTTATGGTAAACTGGTAAATATGTAATTTGCTTTACCCTCTCACAATTTGCTTTTGTTTTGTTTGTGTCGATGAAATGTCACTGTTAACTTGTCAATGTCATTTTTTTTTCTCTCTCAAATTAGTGCCTCTGCACGAAAGCAAAGAAACCTGTGTCCATACAGCCATATATTATTTTATTTTGTGTCTATTAAAATATTCATAATTCATCTTTGCTTGACAACTTTGAATATTACGCATTCATTTATTATTATTTAGCTATGCAATTGTTAATTGTAATTGTGATTATTATGTGTGTTTTTTTTATGTTTTCATTGTAACCAGATAATGTAAGCTGGCGGGTGGTGTGGATATTTTGGTGCTTTTTCGTTTTGCTTTTGCATTAATTTGTTCACATTTTGTATCTTTATTTGCATATATATATATATATATATATTTGTAAATTTATTTATTAATATTTACGTAGTATATGATATCAGACGACGAATTTTTATCTGCTGATGACGAATCTGCAGACACTTCTATTAATGAAAGCTTCTGTTCAGCTACCGACACACTTGGTGATTTTTTGCATCGAACTCTTGACCAAAATCCAGGTCTATTGAATATATGTCACGTCAATGCCCAAAGTTTACCGAGTCATTATGACGAGTTCCTTGATGTGTTCTCTGGGCGAAATGTACACGCTATACTAATTTCCGAATCTTGATTAAAACCACATCTTCTATCTGCCACTTATTCTCTCCCTGGTTTTACCTTAATTCGGAATGATCGTTGTGGCCGTGGCGGAGGTGGTGTCGCTATCTATCTACGTAGTACATTTTTGTTTAAACTAAAAGCTTCCTCCAACGCGGACTCCAATTCGGAATATATTTTTCTGGAGATTGGGACAGGTCGTGCTAAAGCAGTTATTGGTGTAGTTTATTGTCCCCCCACAGTCGATTATTTCACCGAACTTGAAGAGGTTCTAGAATCTTTAGGGTCTGAATATGCACATATTATCATCATGGGTGATTTTAATACCAATCTCCTCGCACCCGAATCCTCCCGTTCCCGAAAACTCCTGCATATTGTCCAGTCCGCAAGCCTACATATTTTACCCCTTCAACCAACTCATCAAAACTCTTGTGGTGATGATACATGGCTGGATTTAATCCTCACCTCTAATCCCTCTCTCGTCACATCACATGGTCAACATATCGCTCCTGGCTTCTCTCATCATGACCTCATCTTCCTTTCCTATCGGCTTAAGCCCCCCAAATCCCCTTCCAAGGTTTTGCACAGGCGCTCATTCGCGCGTATGGACTTAGACAAATTACTGAAGGATGTCTCAGAGATCAACTGGGACCCTATGTTTCAAGCTTCGGCTGTCAACGAAAAGCTAAAAATATTTAATAATACCCTGTTGAACATTTATGATGTCCACGCGCCCATCAGAAAAGTGAAGCTAAAGCGTGAACCAGCTCCTTGGATGACAGCAGGTGTTCAGATGGCGATGAGACGTAGAAATCGTACTTATCGCAGCTATAGAAAGGATCGTTCTGACGAAAACTGGAAACTCTTCAAGGCTGCTAGAAATCGGTGTAATCAGATGATACGTAACGCCAAACGCCGATATATTCTCAACAATCTTTCTTCCTCATCTTCTGCAGATATCTGGAAGTTCCTAGGAACACTAGGTATCGGCAAATCGCGACATTTAGACCTATCTAATTCAATAAACTTAAACGATCTCAATTCTCATTTTACCACATCTTTTAAGTTGGATCGTGATTCTACAGCAAGCACTGTTGCTTCCATAAATGGTTTAACGCGTCCTAACGTCGACCCTTTCCATTTTTCACCAGTCACACCAGCAGAGATTAAAAAGATAGTACTTTCCATTAAGTCAAATGCGACAGGGTGTGATGATATTAGTCGTCGCATGATCATTACCATTCTTGATCCTCTTCTTTCTGCTATAACACATATAATGAATTCTTCTCTTGAAACCGGCACTTTTCCTATGCTATGGCGAAAAGCTTATGTACGGCCTCTTCCCAAAGTCTCCAATCCAACACAGCCACATGAATTTCGGCAAATTTCTATCCTCCCCTTCATGTCAAAAGTACTAGAGGCCTGCGTTCATAAACAATTATCTCAATTTGTCCACAAAAATTTACTGATGAACCCCCTCCAATCCGGATTTAGGCCAGGACATAGCACAGTTTCAGCTCTCTTAAAGGTGACTGGCGATATTAGGGCGGGAATGGAGAACGGTAAAGTAACATGTTTAGTACTTATCGATTTCTCCAATGCTTTTAATACAGTCAGTCACGATATTCTCCTTTCTATACTATCTCATCTTATGGTCTCTGATGATGTGTTGACTTGGTTCTCTTCTTATCTTCGGGACCGCCAGCAGTTGGTCCGGTCTGGGGAATCTTCCTCATCCTGGCGCAACCTGGAAACTGGTGTTCCCCAAGGCGGAATTCTCTCTCCTCTTCTTTTTTCTACTTTTATTGATTTTATCACTCATAATCTTCAGTGTTCGTATCATCTATATGCTGATGACTTACAATTATATACCGAAGCAAGCATCGACAATTTAAACGAAGCCATTGATGCTCTAAACAGTGACCTAGTTGCTATTAAAACCTGGTCGGAAAAATTCGGGGTCACTGTCAATGCTTCAAAATGCCAAGCCATTTTATTAGGGGGGTCAAGGATGATGAGCAAAATTGACATCAACAGTCTTGGTTCCATTATTCATGACGGCACTACAATACCTTTTTGCAACGTCGTTAAAGATCTAGGCTTGTATATCGACTCGAGTTTTAAATGGCAGGACCAAGTTAGTAGTGTCTGTAAAAAAG